AGAAGGAGCAGAAAGAGATGTGGGGTCCATATGGACACAGAAGGGCCACAAAGAGATGGTTGTGGGGCCCAGATGAACCCAGAAGGAGCACAGGGAGATGGTGGGGCCCAGATGGACCCAGCAGGAGCAGGAGATGGTGGTGGGGCCCAGATGGACCCAGCAGGAGCAGGAGATGGTGGGGTCCATATGGACACAAAAGGGCCACAAGGAGATGGTGGGGCCCAGATGGACCCAGCAGGAGCATAAAGAGATGGTGGTGGTGCCCAGATGGACACAGGAGATGGTGGGGCCCATATGGACACAGAAGGGCCACAAAGAGATGGTAGTGGTGCTCAGATGGACCCAGCAGGAGCACAAGGAAATGGTGGTGCCCATATGGACACAGGAGATGGTGGTGCCCAGATGGACCCAGAAGGAGCACAAGGAAATGGTGGTGCCCATATGGACACAGAAGGAGATGGTGGTGCCCAGATGGACCCAGCAGGAGCACAAGGAAATGGTGTGGCCCAGATGGACCCAGCAGGAGCACAAGGAGACGGGTGCTGCCGAGATCCCCACCCCACTCACCTCGCCCCCTGCACGCCGCTGCCCAGTGCCCAGCTGCGCCGCACTTGAAGCAAACATCCGAGCTCCGATCCGCGGCCCTGCCGCCTCCGAACCACGCTGCCTTCTTCTGCCACTTCTCCTTCCACACCTGTGACCAATTTCACGCCATTTCAGCCCGTTTCCTCCCTCCTCCCTCAGGTGCAGCTGGCCGCCCCGCTGCCGTACCTGCTTGCGGAGCTGCCTTCCCCGCAGCGCAGCGCCCCGCACGTGGGATCTGCTCTTCAGGTTGAGCCTCACGAAGTTGCCCTGGGGCCGCCGAGGAGCTCTGTGGGAAAGCAAGATGCCATCAGGATGGGGTGGGGAACATCGCAAATCCCAGGCTGTCCTGGGGACTCCGTGGCAGCGGGAACCCCTGCAATGGGGCAGCAAGGGGGGGAAACGCTAAAAAGAACGGGTGGGGCACTTTTAATGGGGAGAAGCAACCCCCTGATGCCCCAAAATTTGCTCTTGTCCCCACTGTGTGAGCACTACAGATGGGAGAATTACTCTGGAGCAGCAGATGGGGATAATCCCCCACGTCTTTTGTTCCTGAAGGGTGACCGAAGCCAGCAGCGCTCTGGGGAACGCGGAAAGGCTGGAAACGCGTGAGGAAATGGAGTGGAAAAACCCACGGAGAGCTTCCAAAAGGAAGGAAAATTCCAAAAGTGGGGAATGGCCAAAGGAAGAGCCGAGCTCTGCACACAGCGAGCCGCAGGAACAGCCATGGCTCCTTCTCAGGAACGAGGCACTGCTCAGCCCCGCGCTCCTTTGCCCTCATTACCAGGCACAGCTCCAGCCATTCCAGCCACTCGCATGTGGGGGACAAAACTAGCAAACCAACCCATTTTTGGGGGCACCCACCTGGCAGGCAGCGTTTTGCCGACCGCCCCGGGCTTCTTCTCCTCCTCCTCAAAGTCACCCAGAAGGTTTTCGGATGGGGACGGCGCCGTTCTCCTCTGCTTTGGGGCAGCTGCGGGTTCCTCTTGGCCGTCCTCTGGGCACAGCCTCTTCCTGCGGGCAGCTCTGGGCTTTGCCACGTTAACAGCTCCGTCCTGAGCGGTGCCACCCTTCGGCACGCGGCCACGCCGCCGTCCCGTGTCACCTTTGGGTCCCGGTGTCCCTTTGTCATCTCTTGGCATCTCTTCTTCCGATCCCACCGCCCCCTCTTCATGTCCTGGCATCGCCCTTTTGCATCGCGGCGTTCCCCTCTTCCGACCCCGAGACGCCACTTTGGGTCCTGCTGTCTCCATTTCAGGTCCTGCTGTCCCTTCTTCACATCCTGCTGTCCCCTCTTCATGTCCTGGCGACCCTTTTTCGCATCCCGCTGTCCCCATTTCGGGTCCTGGTGTCCCCTCTTCGTGCCCCGATGTCCCTCTCTTCCGTTTCCTTTTGCGTCCCAGTGTCCCCACTGCAGGTTCCAACATCCCCTCTTCACATCCCAGTGTCAACTCTTCACGTCTCACCGTCCCCCTTCTGGGTCCCAGTGTCCCCATTTCAGGTCCCAGTGTCCCCATTTCGGGTCCCAGTGACCCCTCTCCACAACTTAGCATCCCTTCTTCACATTCCAGCGTCCCCATTTCGGGTCCCAGTGTCCCCTCCTCACGCTCTGGTGTCCCCAGTTTAGATTCCAGTGTCCCCCATTTAAGTCTTTGTGCCCTCACCCCAGCTCTCGTCCCCTCTTCCTGCCCTGACGTCCCCTCTTCAAGTCCCAGTGTCCCCATTACAGGTCCCAGCGTCCCCTCTTCATGTCCCAGTGTCCCCAGTTTGGGTCCCAGTGCCCCTCCTTCAAGTCTTTGTGTCCTTACTGCAGGTTTTGTCCCCTCTTCACATCCCAGTGTCCCCTCTACGTGTCCCAGTGTCCCCATTCTGGATCCTAGTGTCCCCTCTTTGTGTCCTGCTGTCCTCACTCCGGGTCTTGTCCCTTCTTCCTGTCCTGGTGTCCCCATTCCAGGTCCTGGTGTCTCCTCTTTGGGTCCCGCTGTCCTCTCTCCACGTCTTGTCCCCTTTTCTTGTCTCAATGTCCCAGTTTCAGGTCCTGGTGTCCCCTCTTTGTGTCCTGCTGTCCTCACTCCAGGTCTTGTCCCCTCTTCCTGTCCTGCTGTCCCAGTTTCAGGTCTCAGTGTCCCCTCTTCCTGTCCCGCTGTCCTCACTCCATGTCTTGCCCATTCTTCATGTCCCAGTGTCCCAGTTTCAGGTCCCAATGTCCCCTCTTCGTGTCCTGCTGTCCCAGTTCCAGGTCCTGATGTCCCCTCTTCATGTCCTGCTGTCCTCACTCCAGGTCTTGTCCCCTCTTCCTGCCCTACTGTCCCCATTCCAGGTCCTGGTGTTCCCTCTTTGTGTCCTGCTGTCCTCTCTCCAGGTCTTGTCCCCTCTTCCTGTCCTGCTGTCCTCACTCTGGATCCTGGTGTCCCCTCTTCATGTCCCGCTGTCCTCACTCCATGTCTTGCCCATTCTTCATGTCCCAGTGTCCCAGTTTCAGGTCCCAACGTCCCCTCTTCGTGTCCTGCTGTCCTCTCTCCACATCTCATCCCCTTTTCTTGTCCTGGTGTCCCAATTCCAGGTCCCAGCGTCCCCTCCCCCTGTCCCACCGCCCCCCCCGCCCCCTCCCACCATCCCTCCTCCCCCTCCACCCCACCCCCCGTCGTCCCCTGGCACCGCCGCAGCCACCCGGGATCCAGCGCCCCCAATCTCTGCGCCACCATCTCCCTCAATCTCTGCAATCGATCCGTTTGGGGTCGAGGCTTCGACCCTACAGTCAGGACGAGGGGCGCCAGGCGGCGCACGGCGGCGGGGAGGACTTGGGTCGATTCGTCGCCGTCATCACCGCCGCCGGCGCTCGGGGACGCGGTGCCGGCACCGCGCTGTGCCGCGGGTTTCCTGCTGCAGGCCAGGCTCCTCTTCACCGCCGACGGCGTCGCCTGAGGATGGGGAGAGAGAGTTTGGGGTGATCCCGAAACGCCGGCTTCTGCACAGCCCCAAAATCACCCGTTTTCACCCACAGCTCCCGAGCTCTGTGCGGTTTCCTGCGGGGTGAATCTCACCCCCTACCCCCACCCCACAGCCACAAACCTGTAGGGCTGCGCCCACCCCACGGCCACAAATCTGTAGGGCTGCACCCACCCCACAACCCAACAACTATAGGGCTGCATTCACCCCAAAACCCCACATCTATAGGGCCGCACCCACCCCACAGCCCCACACCTGTAGGGCTGCATTCACCCCACAGACCCACACCTGCAGGGCTGCACTCACCCCACAGACCCACACCTGCAGGGCTGCATTCACCCCACAACACAAATCTATAGGGCCAC